TTTTATCCAAAATAGTCAAATAGGGACATTGTCAAAAGAATTATATATGCAAAAATTGCTGCAATTTTGACAAAAGGTGTAAATGATAGTTTATGTAAATCGTCTTATGTCCCCGGCTTCTCTCTCTCTCTTAGAAGATGACATTATTACCAAATCATTGACATTTGGCCCAAAACGTGCGGTTACAACTAGATATTGAGCGTGAACTGAATATTCTGAACAACACAATTAATGCAATTTTCAATTTATATGATTATAATTAAATAGATTAAAGTATGCAGGATCCGTTCCCTCGTGGTTGGTGGACTGTCAGTAAGTCATTTTCATAAAATGGTTTGGTGTCCAGCAGCTTTGCTGCATTTTCTTGTTTTAAATTGGGAAACTCTGTATCTTTGTCCAAGAAAACGATCCGTCTACTCGAGCTCACGTGTGTATTATGGCTGACACTGATTGCGTAAATATAATCAGGGCCGTCACAGATCAGCGTGCGCTGTACGACTGCGAGTTATAATTAACGCTTTTGTCTAAGTTGTAAAGTCAATTATCAAGCTTCAGGTGGCAAAATGTGTTACAATTCTTGTACAATAATGGACAGTGGGGTGAAGTCAAGAGGCTCTTGTTGTAGCCAATGTTGCCATTTTAATAATTTTGACCTTATCCAGAATGTCAATGTCATATATGATTTTGTAAATTTGTATAACATCTCCTCTCAATCGTCTGTATTCTAGACTGGGGTGGCCCAACATACAAAGTTTTTCACTGTATGATTTTCCATTTAGGAACGGTAGGCGTCTTGTTGCCCTGCGTTGGACATTTTCAATGGCTATTTGATCTTTTTTGAGCATTGGAGACCATATGCAGGTGGCATATTCCAGGTGTGGCCGCACTAAACTTTTATACAATTGAATAAACATGACTTTGTTTATGAATGTAAATGACCGAAATATTAGTCCGAGGATTCTGTTGGCTTTAGAGACACACTCGTTGACATGGTCAGTAAAATTTAGTTTATGGTCAAATGTAACTCCCAAATCCTTTTCTTTAATCACTTTGTCAATGGTTACTTCGATATGTCCATTTTTTGTAGTATAAGCCGAGTCTGTTTTGATTTCCTACTGACATGTGTTTTACATTTTTTCCCATTTAGTTTCATGTTCCAAACTTTTGCCCAGTCACATAATCTGTGGACATCTTCCTGTAGAGTATTCCTATCTTCGTCGTTCGAAATTCCGGAGTATAATTTTGTGTCATCAGCAAATAGTTTAATTATGGATTGTACGACTTCCGGCATATCATTGACAAATATCAGGAATAAAAGAGGTCCTAGGACACTCCCTTGTTGGACACCGCTGGTTACATTCCTGGTATTGGATATTTCACCATTGATCACTACCTTCTGTGTCATTCTGCTTAGAAAATTTTCTATCCATTGGAGTAGCTTTCCCGTTTGTGAGGGACAGTGTCAAATGCTTTGCTAAAATCGAGGTATATAACATCTATCTGGGTTCCTTTATTTACTTGTTCTGACCAATCTTCAAGGACCTCTAGTAGCTGGGTAACACAAGATTTTCCCTTGGTAAAACCATGTTGACACTTGGAGAAAAGATTGTTGGTGTCCATATGATCCACAGTGGCATCCTTGAAGATTCTTTGCATTAGTTTTCCCAGAACCGATGTTAAGCTGATTGGTCTATAATTTTCTGGGCTGATTTTGGATCCGGATTTATGTATGGGGGTCACAATGGCATTTTTCCAATCCTGAGGTAGTTTCCCCTCATTCATAGATTTTTTAAGGAGATGATGGATTGGTATGACAAGCTGGTTGGCCGACTCTAATAGTAGTTTCGGATGGAATAAGGCGGTCCACCTGACTTGTTTGGATTTAGTAGCTTTATTGCCGATAGTATTTTGTCTTTCATGATGTCAATAAAGTTGATTGGTTCCTGATAGTTTCTTCTATTGAACACTGGCAGTGGTTCATTTGTTTCGACAGTGAAAACACTTGTGAAGTAGTTGTTCATGATCTCAGCTTTGTCTTTGTTGTTAGGTGTCAAGTCACCATTGGCGGCTTTGATATTTCCTATTGTACTTTTAGTCTTGGTCTTCGACCTAATGTATTTTCCAGAATGTCTTGCTATTTGATTTGATGTCCATGGCCATGCTCCTTTCATAGTTGTATTTAGATGTTCTAATTTGTTTCAGAGCTTGGTTTCTAGCTTTTTTGTATTCATTCCAGTTCTTATCGTCTTTACAATGAAGGTACTTTTTCCATCTGGTTTTCTTGTGCCTGATAGCATGTACTGCCTCCCAGCTGTCAAGTGGTATTCTAAGGGTAAACTTGTCGTTTTTGGTCTTGCTCACTGGTATGTGTTCTTTAATGATAATTGATATAGTCTCTGCAAGGACCCTCCATGACTCATCTACATTTTTGACAAACAGCAGATCTGGCCAGTTGACATCATTGATTTTCTCTCTGATCTTTGTGTAATCGCCTTTATGGTAATTCAATCTCTCTACTTTGCAGGTAACATTTTCAGTGTATAGGCAGAGCTCGTAGTTCAGAGAGAGATGCTCGCTTAGTCCAAGTCCGGGTTCATAGTTTATTTCAACTAGCATTCCCTCCTCATTGGTAAAAACAAGATCTAAGGTGGTAGGTTGATTACCTTCTCTAATTCTAGTAGGTTTGGTAACATGTTGATAGAGGAATTCATTTCTTGTGCATTCTAAAAATTTTGTAGCCAGGTGTTGATCCGATACAGATGTTGTATTGGTTGTCCAATTGATCTCCTTGTAGTTGAAGTCCCCCATGATGACTATGTGACTATGAGGTAGACGGCTCATGCTGGCAATTACCTCGTGTAGAGCAATCGAGTTCTCAATGTCACTGTTTGGACTTCTATAGATGGTTCCAATTAGGAGCTTGTCGCTGTTCTCAAGATCAATACTGCACCAAACTTGTTCTGAAAAAAACGACCATTGGTTGGACTGTTATTGCTTGTAGTTTTGATTTGGTGAATATGATCACACCCCTCTTGTTGTTGGACATATCTAGGTGGGTGTCGTATCCTGGTATATTATAGAAGTCTGAGTTGTTTGTCATACCTGGATTTTTGTAATGGATCTCTGTCAAGGCTATGATGTCAGGGTTGTTGTTAGTGATGAATTCCTCAAGTTCAGACATCTTGTTCTGTGTCAATACATCAACATTTGAATAAAAAATGTGGAGGGAATTCTGTGTTACAAGACGGCTAAAATTTCCGCTATTTACAGAATTAAAATCCTCGTTAAAACAAGTATCCTAGTCTCTGTTGATGCCAGGAGATGTAGGAGGGCTGTCAACTACAGTGGGATGACTGTAAACCAGAGTAGTTTCTTCACCATGGTCATATATCGACTCACTCATCAAATGTGACAGTTCTTGAGATAGTGGTATGGGACTTGGAGGTACTTGGTTGGTCGTTTCCATTTCTACATCTACAGATTCCATTCTTCTAGGTCCTTTGTTTTTTATTTCTACATTGTTACTTCTTGGGGGGATTGTTAGGCCTCTTTTGTTTTTCCTTTCCTCTCGTTGGTCATCTGTAAGGTCCCTGGTGAGGATAACAGATTTGAATCTGGGATTGACGTTTATTTTTATTGATGGTGCCTTTTCTAGTAATAGTTTACGTTGGCTTTTGCTCCCTAGAACCACCTTTAATGGACGATTTTTTCCTATGGTTTGTTTACCAATTCGGAATTGAGTCGCAATTTCTAAATCTTCAATTCCAAGTTGTGATGCCAGCCTCCTAAGGTGATGATCATCCTCTGATTTCCGCTCTAATCCCATTTCTTTCTTTGATTCTGGGAAGTTAAAAAGAACTATATTTGTCTCCCTTTGCTTACGATTATGAAGCTCTTTGGTTCTGTTATCGACCAGGTTTACTATGTCCTTTTTGAGTTCTTCCATGACAGATCCTCTCATGTCAGTTATACCTTCTTTAATTTTAGTATCTTGAGCTGCTTCTACTTCGCTGATTTTTTTTTCTATTCTGATCATTCTAGTCTCAGTTTGGATCTGCATCTTTTGAAGGGAGGTTTCAATCCGAGCCAGTGTGGGTTCCGTCTGGTTACAACATTTACATTTGAAGTCCTCTAAGTCCCCTGCCCCGAGACACTGGATAAGTCCATTTGACAGCCCTGTGCATTTGTAACAATTTATCAGATTACACATGTTACACTCGATGAGTTTGGTGTCTAGAATGCAATCACATTTGTTGCAGGCCAATAAAGAGTTATCGTCTCTTAGTCTTTTCCTTACCCTAAGTACATGTGTAAGGGTACTTGGTTTCAAAGCGCACGCCATATTGAGGGTGGATTGAAGTATATATATTGGGATACTGTTTATAATCTAGCAGGTGTTATCTCGAGGGACAGTGTCTACGAGAGTCAGAACTAGAACTGGCAGGGTCACCCTGCCGAGTGCATCCAACGTATTAGACACTGTATACGTTATCAATCAATTCATATGAGAGTGGCAAGGTTACCTTGCCGACTTACAAATTTGAATATGATCAATGTACACCTGATCGTACACTACAGTGTTGTCTAAATCTGGGAGAAAGGTCTAGTAATGGCAGGGTTGTCCTGCCGATTATAACCAACCAGGTAAACACTGTGAAATAGCCACATCTTTCAAGGGAGAGTGGCAAGGTTACCTTGCCGACTCGGTTTTGAGAATGGTTAGACTAAAACTGGTCACACCCTATAGTGATGTCCAATACATCACCCTTTAACTGATCTGCGGAGACACAACAGTAGGCATCAATATCGCGAACCAGAAGCCGCGTCCAGGTGTCAGCTAGTTTATTTCCGGGATGGATACCGTCCCTATAAAACTTCAAATTGATGCTGCTGTACCGGTTACCTTTATTCTTATGTCCCCCACATGAGCGGGTTAGACAATTGTTGAAGAGGAGGCTGTTAACGTTGTTTTCCAGATTTATGTTGTGGATTTTGTCATTTAGCTGGTTAATTTGCCGGTTTATTTCACGATCCTGGAGTGTTGCTAGGTCCGTGTCAGTTGGGTATCCCTTCCACTTGTTCCAGGCTGAAATTGAGTATTGTGGACAGTCGATAATTTTTAAAGATACAGAGTCCAATTTAGAGACGAGATCTTTGATTTTTATAAGTTCTTCAATAATATTATTGACGACCGAATCATCCCAACACGCTAAATGTATTTTTTTACTATGGTTGTCCTTGTTGGATAGATCGCATGTTCCACTCCATAAATAAACCGTAATGTTAGTGTGTCTCCTTATGGCCTTGTGTATACGATCCCTGATAGTAGCACACAACTGCTTAGTAGTGGCGCCCGGTGAGCACCATAATTCACATGGATAACCGTAGGCCTCGGGGTATTTAGCTATGTAGGCATTACGTAGCGAAAAACCCTTACTGTCTGAAACAAGTATCGGTTTAGATCTCAGCCTGTGTGTTTCGACCTCCTTTCTATCCAAGACAGAGCTGATTAGTTTGTCTAATTTGTGGGTGCTCATCTGTCGTGAGGGTCAGGACGGTGGAACTGATAGTCTCATTATGATAGAGAGTCTCTTGATGTGACAAAACCACCAATATATGATGGAAGACACGTAGGACCTACGTTAACCTAAAATTTATGTGAAGTAATTACATAATGATCAAACAGTTGAAAAATGAGAGAAGAATATATGATTTTTTTTTTCAAAATGGCGGCACGTTACATTATGTTGGGTAGATATACTAACAGGGTATACGTAGCTGCGAATTTTGTACAGAAAATATAATATCTAGCCAAAATACATATTGATCAGGTTAAATAAACAATCAATGGACGTAATCATCACATATTTAGCCAAAAACAGATGTTGATGAAGCCATGAAACTTGGATTAGGATCGAATCTTCATCCTAGAATTTTTCTTCCATCATTTAAAGAATGTCAAACCCCCAAACTGTATATATTTTTGATCATTGATGTTTCTTAATACTCTGTATTATTATGTGAATGCCCAAAAGTGATGATCATGATGAAACAGTATTCTTTTCGCCAAGGGTTCTAGATCTCCCACCATGAAAGGGGGGGGGGGGGGGGGGTTAAATTCAACTTGGCTTAAATGTTTTATAGATTCCTGTTGGCATTGTTGTTGATTACCTCTGAACTTTATTGTTATTAGAAGTCAAGATACATATCCCTAGACAAGTACAGTTTGTAAGATGGAAGTTAAGAACCATCATATAGTATTATATATGGTGGAAGTTAAGTACCATTACTATTATTATAAATGGTGGAAGTTCAGAACCACAATACAGTTTTGTCTATAAAATGAACTTCTGAAATGATTGTCCATTTCATGGGAACAAACATCACATGTTTTCAGTGTTCATATGAATAGCCCTGTATTATATCTATATAGGCTTGAAGCCTACAATGTGTTGTGACTTATCATTGTAAGTTGTATGAATCCCACAATAAATCTGGAACCCTCAACAAGTGTTATCTTCTCTCCATATACATTTTTGTAGGTGGTCTGGCATTCGACCCTACCAATGGGTTTCCCCTACATGGTATGTCTAGCTAATGTCCATGGCCATAAGTTAAGTAAAATCTGGTTCAGTCCCGATTGTAAGCCAACAATTGCGGTGGGAAATCCCCTGAATTTCCCATACAACTTATTTACCTTTAGTTTTAACAGTATTTATTCCAATATTCTAACATGTTAATAACTTCTTTAACCAAGATCTTTTGACAAACATTTGGCCTGTAAAGCTATGAGATAGCAACTATTACTGTGTTAGATTTTATGTTTCCTGACAGTCACATCGCACTTCTCTTCTGTTTTATGCAAGGTGTAACAGGAGAAAGAGAAATGCAAGGCCAGGATCCTCCAAACTCTTGACAGACACTACCAATATATATTAATTGAGCTATACTTGGTCGGCGGCGAATGACCCAGGCCAATACCCCTACGTATACACTGGCAGTCTGTCATGTGTCCCGAACTTGTAACTGTTATATGAATTTTTGTGAGTCTCTATAGCTCAAATCATTATATATGGCATGTTTGGGACATCTGTTACCTGTATGCTTTTCTGAGTTTACATGGTTTTTTTTTATCTTTCACAGATAATTGACCTGCTGCTGTAGATACCTCTTATTTGACCTGTGATGACTGAACTAGAAACCATGGAGCCCCACACGCCATGTGATGAATCTGGCAACTATGTTAGTTCAACTGAATCGAGATCTTGTGGTGTACTGCAACCAAGGCCACAAAGCACTCTGTCTAGAAAAATTATCTTGCCAGGAACAGATCGAGATAGAAAGTCAAGTTCCAGTCCTGTGATTGGAAACACTAGTACTTGTCCAGAAATTGAAAATGGCAGTTTTCATAAAGGAAATGTAAATTTGGGAATGAAATATTCTCAATTCAAAAAAGTACTCCCGCCGAAGCAAGATGAGAGAAAATCAGACCCTGAGAAGGGCAGTAGAGTGTTTGACTCAGGTGACTCAGGTGATGGATACTTGTCAAGTCTGCCGTCCCTACCCTTGGAAACAGTAAATGAAGATAGCAGAAAGGCTGAGGATGAAGAAGGGATGGAGGTGGAAGAGAAGACAATGATTGATCAGGAGGAAGAGCAGGAAATATCTGTACACAAGCAACAGCTCAAACAACGAGAACCTGTGACGAAGTTCGCACCAGGGTATATATTTCATGTTTAATAGCGGTACAAACTTCAAACTCATGATCAGTTGCTTTGAGATATATATATATATGTATGGGATTTGTTTTGATTTTTTTTGAGATAACACATTAAATATATGTAATTTTGTATTTGAAATGCATTAAAATGACTTCGAATTATATAGGTTATGATTATTAAAAGAATTCAAACTCATTTTCTCAACATGTACAGATGTACACAAAGAAATATGAAATGATTTGGCATTGTTGATTTCTGTAATTGGTCTAGACTATGAGAATATATATGAAATATGCAAAATACTTTTAACGTTAGATTTAACATTTTAGTCTCCGATTGAAACTGCATCATATGCATACTGCTCAAATATATTGCAGATTACTAGTACCCTACAAAAATATTTTTATAATGTTACTTAAGGAGAAACTTATAAGGAAATAGCATTCATATCTCATTTTCCATTTTTCAGTTCTACAGTTTATGGCACTAAAGATGCCTTGACTGACATGGTTCTCCAGATGTTGGCCCTCCCTGACAAGGAAACTGGAATCTTCACTAAAAAGGTACATGTAGCAATAATTATGTATACTGGGAAATTTTCACTGCAGTTTATAATTAATTTGCGCCCTTTTTGCCCTTGGTAATGAGGATGAATTTATCATTTCAGCGAATATAAAACAGCATAATAATTATAAGCATATCAAATGTAAAGGTCAAATTTCCCACTGGGCAAAAATTGATTTCATGGGCAAAAAGCGAAAGTTAAACGGGGCAAAAAATTCCCAGTATACATATATATTGACACTGATTTTCCTTCTTCTATTCTTGGCAGGGATTGGCTCCTCTGGTAGCTATATACATGTATATATTACATTAATATGTTGGCAATAAAATCAAATATTTGCAGGGGTTTATGAAAATTTTGTATATAACTTTCCTATGAACAGTTCCTTTCAAGAGTTGCATTTTCATGATCAGTGGCTTAATATACTGTGTGCAAAATGTTCAATCATCCTTCTGGCCAAGACTATTTATGATGTGGGATATGATAAAACAAACATCTTGAATTGTGCATGTTCAATACATGTGTCATATGTACAGAATTGGTAAAATAGCAGAATTTGAATAATGTTATAGCGTTATGATACATTAGGATAAATTCTTACACTTCTTGTTTAGTAGTAGGATAAACAACATGGCCGACAGGCAGCCATCTTGGATTTTGATAGTTAAGGTTTGATATCGCTATTTCTTGGGAAGTACCTGTGGGATCTTTCTGAAATTTTATATGTACAGGTTCTTCTTGGTCCCTAGTTGTGCAGGGCAAGTTTTGAGACTCATCAGATAGACAACATGGCTGACAGGCAGCCATATTGGATTTTAACATTGAAGTTTTACTATCGCTATTTCTCAGTAAGAACTGGAGAGATCCATCTCAAATTATATATGTAGGTTTCCCTTGTTCTGTAGTTGTGCATATTTAATTTTGAGACTGATCAGAAATAGAAAATGGTCGACAGGTCACCATCTTGGATTGTGACATTAAAGGTTTTTTATGGCTATTTCTCAGGTAGTACTGGAGGGATATTTCCCAAATTGGTATGTAGGCTTCTCTAGATCTGTAGTTACAAGTGCATAATTAATTTTAGAATGATCAGAAAAACAAAATGGCCAACAGGCAGCCATCTTGGATTTTGACATTGAAGGTTTTTTAACGCTATATCTCAGGAAGTAGTGGAGAGATCTTTCTCACATCTTATATGTAGGTTCCCCTAGGTCCTAACTTGTGTATATTAACTTTTGAGACTGATCAGATAAACAGAATTGCAGACAGGCAGCCATCTTGGAATTTGACAGTGAAGGTTTGTTATGGCTATTACTCAGGAAATACTGGAGAGATTTTTCCAATTTTTTTTATGTAGGTTCCCCTTGTTATAAATTTATGCATATTTTCTTATGATACTGATCGGATAAACAAATCTTTGATTTTGACAGTTAAGGTTTGTTAGTGCTATTTCCCAGGAAGTACTGAGGGGTTCTTTCTCAAATTCTATATGTAGGTTCCCCACTATCCTTTATTGTTCATGTTTACTTTTGAAACTGATCAGATAAACAAAATGGCCAACCAACAGCCATCTTTGATTTTTGACATTGAAGGTTTGTTGGGACTATTTCCCAGGAATAACTTGAGGGATTTGTCTCAAAATTGATATGTAGGTTCCCCTTAATCCCTCTTTGTGCATGTTATATTTTGGGTCTGATCATAAAAATAAAATGGCTAAAGGAAGAACTAAACAGTGCAATGATCGATTCTATTTCTTTCACATTAAGTACTGTACTAGTAAATGTGTGAATTGACAAACTCTCTTTGAAGGTTATCTTTCATACACATCAGTATTAAGTTTAGATAAAAAATTCACTCAAGGTGCATTTACTGTTAACATGACTGGATCAAACAGATTACAGAAAAGAGGAGAAAAGATCAAACTGACAAAGAACTAATGAATATATGGTATAATGGTGGGCGCCAAGATCCCTCTGGGATCTCTTGTTCATTTTTATGAACACAAAAAAAATCACGAAAATTTGATGAATTGAGTGGGCGGCACCTCGACGATACACACCATCCAATCAGTCGCATGATGCTGTGTATTGTGTAAGCTCTGCCCATTATGACAGGAGGGCTACTGTGCTGAGGTGTGATTGATGTTTCAGACCAACCAATAATTCTTGGTGATTTTACAATGCAGGGACATTTATACAATGTATACCATACACGGAGACACTTATAATGATGCATTAACTAATGTAATGGTCCTTTTGAATTATAATCTAGATTGTTTAAAGAGGAAATCGTGTAATCGAGTCATATTGACCGACACATGTACATCATACATTTTGCTCCTATATATTGGGCAAAGACGAAATGTTTATCACGTTACAAGGCAATGCTACTTTATTTTAAGCACAAATGAGGAATTTTAAATTGATCTCGTGGAACTTGTTTCTTTTTAAATATCCACTGCAAGACGGGGTTTTTCCCCGAGTATGTGCTGGCGTTATTTCTTTTCTGTTCGGGAAATTCAAGTAGTGCTTTCTGTTCGGTGTGTCATTTGTAACTGTATATCTGTGGTACCGTAAACATCAACCACAGCAGACACATACATGGTATTAGTAATATACTGTATTTTCTCTGTCCAGTCTTAATGCCCATTCACCCATGACCGTGGGATAGTCGTGGAGGGCTTATCCAGGTAAGGCTGGCGGATCTACCTTGATATAACTGGCGTTTCTTCTGCGACCATCCCGCGGCTACGAGCGACAGGGATTAAAATTTGTTGCTCGGCAAGCGATTGAGTACCAAATCACCTGACGCGTACTGTAGTGTTTGTTTTATCTATACTATATTGCGAAGAATCAACCAAAATGTATACTCAGGACAGTTAATTTTTCTTTAATCATTTACTTGCAGCATAAAATAAACCAACATCTTGATCATAATGTTGGGAAAATAAAAATCGTATTCAGATTGTGTGACTGTTAGCTATAGCGTGTGTATACTGTCCTATCACAGAGCTTATGGTTCCTGAGTTCAGAAGATCGAAGGGAAGTCATCAGAAAGAAAGTTCTCGGACGAGGTGCATTTGGAATAGTCAACTTGTGTGTCCATGATAAGACTGACTATGTCATCAAGCAGGTATGGAAGCTTCTGTGAATTTGTTAATGAACTTTGAAAAAGACTGCATCTGTCTCCTCATGATCAAGTTTTCATCTGATTTATCCAGCCCAAAATCTGCCCTTTTCCCAAATGGTATTTACAAATAATAGGGTTTATTATATGACAATTTTATCTCGAACTAGTACGACGTAATCAAGAGTGAGACTGACTTTGCTAAAGCAGGAGTTCTATTTCCTATGTGTAGAAAATTCCTCTAGTTCAGTGTTTAAAGATGTGGATGTTTTGACAAAGTTTGAAGAGAGGGTTTGACCCCAGGCCAAATGTTGGTAGGGTCAATTATAGTGTTGAATTCAAAACAAATTCTTCAATAAATTAGATGAAATATATTGAGGGATAACCCTACCAACCATTCAGATGCTGTATTACATCTCAAATGAATTAAAATTTTGTTTAACTTCGAACAGTCAGACTTTATTAAAAATATCCATTGGCTGCATCAAAATTGGTGTATTACGTTTTACCCATTACAATTTTCACCCCTATGTAACTTCAATAAACTCAACCATCTATTGATTTAGATAAGTTCATTATGGTCTACAGTGGTGAAAGGGTTAAATATAGGAAATCATTTTGCCTGCCTTTCTTGTCAGATTACTGGTGATTTCCAAAAAAATGAAGTTCTGCTGACTGCCAAGTTAAACAGTCCCTACATAACACAGCTCTATGGGATGATAGTCCGGAACAAGATTCCTGAAATTATCATGGAATTTGGAGGTAAGAGATAGGTCTGTCAAACTGGTATATTAAATACAGTGTATATGCTAAATATTTCTTTATTCACCTTTGCATGTCGGATGCTACCTGTATTTGATTTCATTTTCATATGGCTAGTTTATTTTATATATTAACTTTTCCACTTTTTCCTTTCCCTTTTCCAGCTCTATACACAAAGAAGTGTTAATGGATTAGCAAGGGAAAAAAAGGGCTAAAATTTGACAGTTTTTAATGGAGACATTTATTTGTTATTGCATCTTCTTGCACAACAAGAATGTAATTTTATGATGTCAGTTTATAGACTATCAATGTAGCATCAAATTTAAAATCGACTCAGTCTTGGGAAGACTTTTGTTCACAGTTATTAACAAGTTGTATTGACACCTTCCACGGTGGCCTCCATCTTTGTTTTCATACTTTAGCTATACATGTAATTTAAGTAAAAATATTGATATCGATAACACAAAGCCTCAAAGTCGGTTATTTGATCTGTTTGTCTCTGATCGGCAGGTCAGTCAATGCTTCAGATGGCAAGGCTGGGGAAATTCCAGGACCGCGACGTGTGGAACCTCTCCTATCAGGGCTTGTGTGCTTTGGAATATCTGGATGAGTTCGGCATTTGTCATCTGGACATAAAACGTAAGTATCACTATATCAATCATCAGTGAGGATTATATGCCACAGTGATTTTATTACCTCTCCTCCACGGGGGCCTGAGTCTTGTGCAGAAGGTTTTGGGAAGGGGCCTTATTATGGTTCTTAGATCACCTTAAAATCACTGAGGAGCAATATTGTGATGTCACCATTTGATAATGTTTAATAGTGCTACTCAGTGATTTTGACACGTGCGTTTGGTAATACAGGTGTCTAGTTTAAGGTGAATTTAGAGCCATTATAGGGCCCCTTCCCAAAACTTTCTGTAGTACTTTCACAACATCATGCTTTTTGTGTGTGTCAAAATGAATTAAGAATTAACTGCATCACCTTTTGACATTTCTAGATCTGAAGCAATGAGATAAGATAACAGTGTCATGATAATACACAGTAAATTATTGCCGTGACTGTTTCTCGCGCAAAACATTGTTTGATTTGAAAATATTATTCTAATTAATACCTGATGTTATGTTTGTTTTAGCGGAAAACATATTGCTGATGATGGACGAGAACCAATTCCTGTTGAAGTTAACTGACTTTGGAGCAGCAAAAAAGATTGGGGAGAAGAATGACATGGTTGGTTGGACGGTAGAATATCTGAGTCCCGAGCGGGCTTGGTTGGTCCTTCTGTCCAAATTTCCTGAGCAGCTATCACCAACTGGGCTGGAAGAGAGTGACATCACTGGAAAAGCTGACATCTATGCTCTCGCCTTGACCTTGATGTATGCTTACGAAAGGTCACATGTGCTCGTAAAGTTCATCACTAAGGGAGACAACTTTTACCGCGATGCAGACAAGCAGCCAAAGCTACAAGTCAATCTACTGGTTGAAGTAAGAAATTAAGAGTTTTTAGTTTCTTTAGTGCCTGTCATGTAATAAGGTGATTGATTGATAGAAACTTCCAGGCTTTACCAATTACAAAAAAGATTTAAACGAACATAAGTTTAACAACAAAGTTTTATATCTACCTACAGTTTAATTGACAGCAATGTTATATTATAAGTGAAATAACATGGCATGATTTTCACTCGCAACATTGCAATTTTATAAATCTTGAGTGCCTGTCAAAAATATTGATATAAATGAAGGGAGACATATTGTATTAGTCCTGGTTTGTCTTCTTCTTCTGGTTCTTCTATTCTGATTTGCCCGGGCCATAACATTTAAACCGTTGAAGATATCTTGATGAAACTTATAGGTATGCATGCATCACCCACAGGAGGTGTGCAGTGCAGTGTACTGGAATTAGGTCACTGTGACCTTCACCTCAAGGTCAAAGGTCAAATAAGTGCACATTTTTCAGAAAATTCTTGTCTGGCCCGTAAATTTCAAACCGTTAAAAATATCTTAATCAAACTTGAAGTCTGTGTGCAGTGCACTGGAACTAGGTCTTGTGCCCCATTATATACAGAGTGATGGCCCTTTGTTTAATATTAATACCGATGTTTGTCCAGAGCATAAGTTATTTCACCTACGTTGACTATTCCGTCTTTGCGTATTGCAGAATTATCTTCTCTTGGGAGCAGGGATTGATTGTTACGTCATTGGTTTGTGTGAGAAAATAACGTCGTTTTCTCAAAAATTGAGGGCGTTACTCTCACAAACCAATGACATAACAATCAATACCTGCTCACAAGAGAAGATAACTCTGCAATACGCAAAGACGGAATACTTACCATATTGATATATCTTGGGAAGGCGGAATTTCTCACACTAAAATCAGATTTTATGACCCACTATATGCAGAGTTATGGCCCTTTGTTTATTTTTAATAACAAAGTTTGTCCGATGGCATACCTTCTAAATCATTAAAGATATTTTAATCAAACTTGAAGTATACCTGCATCACTCACAGAAGGTGTGCAGTACACTGGATTTAGGTCTCGTGTGTCACACTATACAGAGTTATGGCCCTTTGTTTAATTTTAAAACCAAAGTTTGTCCACGGTATAACTTCCATGTTATTAGGGCCCCTAATCAAAGATGCGGGTGCCCTATACTAATTCATCCGTCCGTCCGTTCATCACAATCAAACAAGGTATCAACTGACCAAAAGTCAAGGTCACTGGGTCAAAGGTCAAGGTCAAATTTTGTATCTTTTCCCTGATGAACATTTTGTTATGATATTATGAAGCATAGTTGATTGGAATTTAAAAAAGAGTCAACTGACTAAAGGTCAAGGTCACTGGGTCAAAGGTTAAGGTCAAATTTAGTATCTTTTTACTGGGGAACATTTCGTATTGACACTTTGGAGCAAAGTTGGTCGGAATTAAACAAAGAGTAAATTGACCAAAGGTCAAGGTCACTTGGTCAAAGGTCAAGGTCAAGTTTTGTATCTTTTCCCTGATGAACATTTTGTTATGACATTTTGAAGCAATGTTGGTCAGAACTAAGCAAGGAGTCATTTGACCAAAGGTCAAGGTCACTTGGTCAAAGGTCAAGGACAAATTTTGTATCTTTTCACCGATAAACATTTTGTTATAACATTATGAAGCAAAGTTGGTTGGAATTTAACAAGGAGTCAACTGACTAAAGGTCAAGGTCACTGGGTCAATTTCAAGGTCAGATATTGTATCTTTTTACTAATGAACATTTTTTGTATGTTATTATGAAGCAAAGTTGTTAAGAACGGGTTACGGGTTCCAAAGGTTCAAGGTCAAGGTCAAGTTTTGTATTTTTCACTGATGAACATTTTGTTATGATATTATGAAGCAAAGTTGGTTGGAATTGAAGAATGAGTCAACTGACCAAAGATCAGGGTCAATGGGTTAAAGGTCAAGGTCATTTTGGTCCAAAGGTCAAAGACAAAGTGGATCTCTTACTTTGACCCTGGCTCTTGATGGGGAAGGTATTTAAGGTGAAATAAAACAAATCGAAGCTAACAAATGAGTATTGCACCGGTATTTACACTTTTGTCAGCCCAGCAAATATGGAAGTGGAAGGAAACAAGAGTCACATCATAGTACATGTAAAATGTATATTTTGCTTTCTTGGAATTTTTTGAAGTCCAAATGTCAAGCGTCAAGCTCAGCTATATGGGCAAAATACTTCTTGATCATGATTATGGCGGATATATTGCCACAAGACGGGGCCCTTACTGACCTGTCAGTGTTCTTATTTCACCTACGTTGACCAAACTTGCTAAAGTTTTAATGTATCTTGGTAAGTAGGAGTGTCAAATTCTAAATTCGGGTCTCGTGCCTCACTATATAAAGCGATATGTCCCTTTGTTAATTTTTATACCAGATTTTTTCTATTGGCTAATAAGGGGAGACATATGTTTTTTTGGGAGACAAAAACAAAATTGTAGTTTCAACTGAAATAACATTACAGAATGTTCTTTTTTTTTTCGTCACACATGTATTTGGATTTTTTTCTGATTTATTTGAAAAATGGACTTTTATATTTTATATGGAACTGTTTTTCCTAGCTTTGCTCCAATCTTGATCTTGCCTTGAGCCAGATGCCGAAAGCAGTGAGCACTGACATGAGATTTATCCTGAACAAGATGCTGCAGGGAGATGTCACTAAAAGGTGTACAGCTGCAGAGGGCAAAAACTGGATGAATTGTAAGTTGGCGGTTCAGCAGCAAGCTAAGGGGTTAAAAATTCAGACTGATAGTAGAGTAACAGAAGAGTATACAGCCCAAACACAAACCAAACCCATCAGAAAGGCAGTACAATCCAATAGGAAGTCTACATCAGCGGTCGGTAAGCCAGCTTCAGCAGTAGGTATGTCACAAATACCAATAAACGAGGAGCAAGGCTGGGCTAAAGAGTGTAGAAAAGCAACTATGGAAACCATCGCTAACCTGCCATCTGGACTGAAGAAAAGGATGGTCAAGAGAAAACTCTCGTATAAATTGGCATCAGGCAAAAAAATGAAAATTGGTGATTTCAGGAAAGAGGCTGAAGATGATGAAAGTGTCATTTCTAATGGTGCCTTTCCTGAAACCGTGATAAGGGAGACAACTCATGATGTCATTGTTATCAATGATGACACTGATGAGGAGGAACCAGCACCAGTGAGGGGGCAGTATGAGGGACAGGAGGAGAAGCTTGGTAATGGAAACATTCCTAACTTCGAAATGTTGTACACACAGAGCTAGCTCTGGGTCTTGATTCAGTTTCGCCAAATTTTTATATGTTCCAAACAAGTGCGCGTGGTGGCACGCAATCAATTGTTTTATTACTATAAAACACTAACACTGCAAATAATTTCATTTTTGTTTTTTTATTTCTGTGACATTCCCTGGCCTTCTGCATCCCAATTTCAAGGCCTTCTACATTCAAACAGGCTGCTCCTTGTTGCCAAAGTGCCAGGATGAGATATTTCATCTGTTAAAATGAAGAAAAAATATATAAGAGAACTTTACATGCATATTAGAGCAAATCATTTTCACCAAAAGCAAAGGCTGATAATTTTGGAATTTACCATCCCTATCAACAGTTTTATTAGTGGTTATTCATCTACATATTCAGTTGATAATTCTTAGTCAAAAATCATTTGTTGGCAAAAATGCCAACATTTTCACATACAAAAAAAAACAATTGGCAACTTAAATATAATTTTCGGCCAATTCTTGTCTCGATCAGAGTGCAAGAATGACACAATTCAAATTGTACATGTCATTTTCAGTGCCCTGGCAATTACATATCTGTTACTGCTTAACAAAATTAAAAAGAAAGTCGTTAAAAAAAATATCCCGCTTTCGTCCCAATGAAAACACCCAACCGTGCCTCGTTATTGCCTCGCATCACTTCACAGGATTTACTGCAGTACCTACTCTAATCCAATTAAAACAACCCTTTTCTCACCCTAACTTACCCTATTGTTCTCCACAGAGCACCCCTCGGAATAAGACAATATATTCATAATTGGATAATTGGCGATTTTGATATCGGACGGAGTCGTTGTGTTGACAGGTGACCATTTTGTAAAAAACAAGAGGCCCATGGGCCTTAACGGTCACCTGAGTCCTACAGTATTATTTTTTGTTGAAGTGGAGATAATGATGTCAATCATCCCTACCAAAATTTGAGTAAAAAATAGTTAAGTATAACTTTCAGTTAAGTTTGTCAGGACAATGAGTTGATCATTCCTAGACCGACTTTCAGTTGATTCGGCCTATTAGAACTTGATTTTAAGTTTTAAATAGTTTTTTTCCAAAATGGCAGCCATGGCGGCAGTATTGGACCTTTGATGGACCTGAAGAAAAAAAACTTTTTGCCAGGACCATGAGTCAATCATTCCTTTCCAAATTTCAGTTAAATGGGCCTATTAGAACTTGATTTAAAGTTTTAAATATTTTTTTTCCAAAATGGCAGCCATGGCGACCGTATTAGATTTTTGATGGACCTGAAAAAAACACCATTTTGCCAGGACCATGATTCAATCATTCCTCTCCAAATAAATGGGCCCAGTTGAACTGGACAATAAGTTTGAAATAGTTTTCCAAAATGGCGGCCGTGGTGGCCATATTGGATATCTGATCAACCCAAAAATAACAACACTTTTTCAGGACCACGAGTTGATCATTCCTACCAAGGTTCAGTTAAAACGGCCCAGTAGAATTTGCCTTAAATTTGAAATAGTTTTTCAAAATGGCCGGCCCTTGCAGCCATATATTAGATTTCTGATCAACCCCAAAAATAACAACACTTTGTTAGGACCATGAGTCTATCATTCCTACCAAGTTTCAGTTAAATAGGGCCAGAAGAAAAGTTCCAAATCGCCAATCATGTTTTACTTTCGCCAATGGTGCCAGTGGCGACCGCCAGCATGAGCCTTGACATAATATGTTAATCCGATCCGGGTTATAGGTTTGTTCTCACATTTCATGGTGGATAGATGGGGTAGCCTTTGCTCAAAATATAGACATCTAGATCTGTATTAACATTTTCTGTTTGTAAGATGAAATGGCTTAAGCTTATATATGTAACAAAACAGAGCCTGACATGCTATATAATCACAGGCTGTGCTAATTAACAAAGAGTGACTGGCAAGTAGTGATACTAGCAATAGCTCCAAAGTGCTTTCACCTCTTTAGAGGTTTGTTAGGGGGGG